TGTTCCCAATGCATTTGCTGTGCGGCGTTTTATGATGGGGTTTATAAAAAGCTAATGGAACATCCATGATGGGGAGTGAGAAGTTTGAATACCACGAGATTTTAACATCTGATGATCCATTGATTACAGCCAGAAGGGGTCCGATCGCATAGAAGGGCCTCGTCAGTCACAAGCTATTAATGTCACTTCCCTACAAGTCCCATGACCAGCATGGCTATCGTGCCAACTGCCTTAGTGATGGATCAGGGCCCTCTGGCTAACGCGCATCTCCCAGAGAGGCATCCAGTCTTGATTTGCCATCAGAACCCAGAGGCATCCCAGGTTTATAAATCTGCGCTAGTAACAGATACTAGACCAGTACCGACATTCAAGTCAACAGCTACCAGAACGTTCTAGAGAAGTGGAGCCATATAGGGTTGATCCTCAACCGGGCTCTCCCCTGCCTGCCCTGCAGGCTTAGGTGTTCAAACCACACACAATCGCACCACCTGTGCTGGTGCATGTCCACTGCTCAACGGTGTGCACACGTCCTGGGAAAAGGGAGCTATCCCAGAGTGCCTCAGCCAGGGAAAGCCTACAGCCTCCCAGAAGGGACTGGGTGGATGGAGGACCACAGAGTCCCCATCCCTCGAATGATGCCTATCTACACTGCGAGAGTGGGAATCTGTATAACCACCAAGATGCTCAGGACGACAAAATTGTGAGCTCCCATCTTTACCAAGGCCCCTAGCAAAGTCTGGCACCGGCGTTACCTCAATAGCTCTGCGGCATTCAACGGGACTATTCATATGCATGAAATAAAGCAGGTGCAGAACTCCACAGGACAGACCTCCCAGCATTGGCAACATGCAATGTGGATACATTTAAAGCTGACCAGAGCGCTCGCAGCAGCAGTAGTAGGCAAGTATTCCAGTCGGGGCTGCAGGAGTGCTTTGATACAAGTCATGCTTAGGGTTGCCAGGTGTCTGGTTTTCGCCTGGACAGTCCAGTAATTGCATCTTCCATCCAGTAGAAAACAAAATACTGGACATGCGAAATGTTCAGTATTTTGTTTCTTGGACAGAAGGCCGCTAGAGATATTTTTCCTCTGCCGTGTTTGGTGGGGGCAGCCTGGTTAGAAACATCCCAGTTTTATCTGGGACAAGCCCCTCACACTCCTTTCTC